AGAATCAAATCCCTTCAATTCAATGTGTCCTTGAAGAAAGCTCAAGCATATAAGAAAGCAAGAATATCCAGCACCCAAGGTAAAAATCAAAATGTCTGGCATCTACTCAAAAATCTCCAGGCATACTAGGAAGCTGGGAAGTACGGCCTGCAGTGAGGGGGAAAAAAAAAGCAATCGAAATAGAACTGACCCAGATACTGTAATTAGCAAAGAAAGGCATTAAGGCAGTTGTTACAACTGTCATGCATATGTTGAAGAAGTCAGGTAGCTACACAAGAGATACTTCTAAAAAAGTGAAAATTACAATGTCTGAGTTGAAAAACACACTGAATGGGACGACTGGCAGGTTAAACAATGCAGAAAAATAGACTAGTGAACTCAAAGACACAGCAATAGAAATATTTTAAAATGAAACAAGGCATAAAACAAATTACTTGAGAAAATAAACAGGACATCAGTGAAGCTGTGTGACACAACAAAATCAAACAGCCTAATATGTGTTTTATCTAATGACAACTGGGTCCCTTAAGGAAAAAAGTGAGGGGAAAATGTAGAAAAAAAAATATTTGAAGTAACAATGGCTGAAACTTTCCAAATCTGATGAAAACTATACACCCACAAATCAAAATAACCCAGTGAGCTCCAAACACGAGAAACCGAATAAAACAAAACCAAACTACATCAGAAACACATTTCTCAAAATCTTAAAAGCAGCTAGAGGGAAAAAAAAGGCATGTCACATTCGAAAGACACATAGATACAGATAGCAGTGGGTTTCTCTGGGGACAGGATACAAGTGAGGAAACACAAGAGCAATGTCTTGAAAGTAATGAATGAAAAAACGTTATCCTAGAATTCCATACTGAGCTCAGATAACTTTCAAAAATGAAGGCGAAATACCAGCTTTCTCCAGACATCCAAAATGCGAAAGAAGTCCTCACCAGCAGACCTACACGGCAAAAAATGCTAAATGGAGCCTTTAAGGTGGAAGGAAAATGATATGTGGAAATGTGGATCAATACAAAGGAACAGAGAACACCAGAGTTTACATGGGTCGATGAATATAAATGTGTATGTATACATGTATATACATACGTGTATCTCATTAGATAGAAAATATTAACTATATGTTGTATATAAAATAGAATGGTAACAGAAGGATTATAAATAGTGACACATGTTGAGGTTGTTAAATAAAACCATTTTTGATGCAATCATCGGTCTGTTTTTCTATTTTTATTTTTTTTAATTTTTTATTATTTTTATTATTTTTATTTATTTTTATTTTATTTTATTATTTTTATTATTTTTAAATTTTTACTCTTGAGAGCAAGCAAGACAGAGTGCAAGTCAGGGTGGGGCAGAGAGAGAGGGAGACACAGAATCCGAAGCAGGCTCCAGGCTCTGAGCCGTCAGCACAGAGCCTGACGCAGGGCTCGAACCCAGGAACCGTGAGATCCTGACCTGAGCCGAAGTCAGATGCTTAACTGACTGAGCCACCTAGGCACCCCGTCAATATACTTTTTAAATAAACACAATATTTTCAAAGAGTCAATTACCTGTTTTATTCCCTTATTCTCTTCCCTGCTAACCCATTTTATTTTCCTTTTTTTAAAATATTTTTTAATGTTTATTTATTTATTTTGAGAGACAGAGGGGGGGGGGCAAGTGTGCGAGCAGGAGAGGGGCAGAGAGAGAGAATCCCAAGCAGGCTCCACACTGTGAGCGCAGAGCCCGATGTGGGGCTCGAACTCATGAACCGTGAGATCACGACCCAAGCCCAAGTCAGGTGCTTAACCGACTGAGCCACCCAGATGCCCCTAACCCATTTTATTTTCAATGCCTGATCTGACACAGGACTGGAGGGCCACACGGACGACTGGTGGATTACCACGTTGTTCACCATTCTGTGCCTACATATTCCACATTCCCAAGGATTCACGCACTCCTTCCTTCGTCTTTGCTCTCCTTCTGTCCTCCCCTCCTTCTTTCTTCCTTCTCTTATTCACCAATAAACACACTAATAAACCATGATGGGAATGGAGCCAGCTCAAGGGTAGACTTGAGAAGACACTGACCTTGAACACGGGAAGTCGAAGTAGACGGCCGAAAAGAAGCAACTGAAGATGCCCCAAAGAGGAATAACAATCGAGAAAGAAATGAAGGTAGACCTGGGCACAGAATGCCTGTCCGTGGCTTCAGAGACCTGCATCAGGGATGTCAACTTGGAATTGATCAGACAGTGCATAAACGTTCCTGAAAACTTAAGAAAGCAGAAAGACACCCAAGGGGAGACCTTTTCAGAGTAGAATACAAAGCCAAGAACAAGTCCATGGGGAATATGAACACTGGACACTGGGGGCTGCTGGAGGGGGCAGGGGACTCTAAACAGACTGTGCACTCTGGACGTGGGGGGGAGGGATTTTCAGGAAGAGAACACTCGTGTGCCAGGAAGCCACGAAAATGCATGAGGTTGGTTTCTACGAATGGCCAGTGTCATTGGAGTATAACTGGGGTGTAAAGAAATGAAACCAAACAGAGACGTTGCATCTAAGGGACACTATATGCCAAGATAAGCAATCTGGACATTTTCTCACTATCAACAGAGAAGTGAAAATAGAAATGGGGGGGGAGATAATCATTAGCACTTTGGGCTATAAACCGTATCATATTCAAACACTCAAAAATAAAAGTGCAAAGTGCTAGGCTTCAACAATTATTCTTATTAATAATAAAAATGAAGACAATACAGAGAGAGGCCCTACTATTAAGGAATGTACTCCGCAAAGTTTCACAAGTAGTGAGAACTATTATAAGTTACGGTGGGAACCCCTGATGCCCGACAGCTCATGTTTGCTGAATTTTGGGTGCACACAGGCCCCATGAGAGCTACACAGCCAACCAGCCCTTCCGGGGATCAGGCGCACAGCTTTGATCTTTCTGGCACTGACCTCTAACCGGAGGAACCATGGTAATATCTCCTCAAGAAGAACATCAAGCTGATGGCAAATCCCCATCAAAGAGCCCGCACGGCTTTCAAGTAGTAAACCTGACGTTGTTTCCCGGGTAATGGGAGAAAGGAGAAACTCATTTTATGGGATCAAAGAGAAACCGAGGATCAGGCGTCCCGGCCGTTGCGGCCGTGAGCGTGTTCGTGGATCCCAGAAACAAAAGGATGGGAGGAGATGACCGACGGAAAGAGAAAGAAAAAGGCGGACGGCCACGCGGCATCATGTGGGCTAAATGGTGCACGGAAATGCCATGCAGAGGTAGGATTTGGAAACAGAGTGGAAAGGGAGCCTGTCATCTGGCAGCTGGATGACACTGAGGCCGAAGGGGACCCTTGAATCTAGAACAGGGTTGCTTCTGGGATGGTGAGCCTCACCTCCAGAAGGTCTCACTGTCTGTGGGGTTAGTGAAGGGGCAATGGTATCATTCCTACACAATCACTCCCTGTGCCCTGGAGTGCCCATATCCTCCTTGATCCCTGAGCCAACAGAAGCTGAGATTCCTGCAGCCACTATTTCTCCGCGCGTTCCTCCTCCCTCCCCGGGACCCCTCCCTGCCCGCAGCTCACTTCCCAAGCCCTTCACTTGGAAAACCGACTGACCGCTCTCTCCCCGTGCCCCGGGGTCACGTTCCAGTATTTTACGTCTGTTTTGTACAATTTTATGGCTTCTCATAAAATCCTGACAACAAAAATGAATCATTCTAGAACGGCCCCCCACCTCCAATGTTTAACACAGTTCCTGGCGAATGGCCAAGTGTCCGATAAATTCTTAGATGGCAAGTGAGGGAATGAGGAAATGAAGGCCAGGATAATATAGTGGTTATGAGAACCGAATTTGGGAGAAAAGACATCGCTTTCGAAATGAAGTGGGACCAAAAACCCAACCTTACGAGATGTCCCCATCCGATATACTCTTTGAGTTAGTCTCCGGTTTTCTAGAAGGTATTTTTTAATCATTATTTTTTCTTTTTGTATTACTTTAAGTAAATACTGGTATATTCTAGATCATCGAAATGGCAACCATAGAGTTGATTCCCCCATGTATTTCACTGAAGGTGTTTATGCTTGTATTTATGCGATTTTTGTTACTCTTCTCATCAGTAGAGAAAAGAGGGAAGACACGACACGTAAATGACGTTCAAAAGAGGCCTCGAGTAGAGAAAAGTGGAGACGCAGGCAGTGAACCTAAAAGAAGAACTGAGTCATCATCGTGGGGCTCGGGGAAAACAAGATCACCAGCGTCCCCACATGAGGGTCACCCCAGTGACAGCATCAGAGAACAGCATCATCGGTCCCAGTAAATTACCGCTGTTGATTTGGAGTTCGTTACTTTCATGAAGTAAAGGTTCTGAGGCTCAGGCCAGGTTCACCTGTACATTCGACTAGAAAATAACTAAAGACAGCATAATATCGAGGCGTTCCATAAAAAACCGTTTTACATAGATATTTAAAAGGCTGAAAGAAGTCAGGTTCAGTTTTCAGTTCGGCATTTAGAGCACGTCAGTCCGTCATCGATGGCAGCGGGGGGGGGGGGCAATAAACACCACTTACTGTATGCACATCCGTACACTTCTATCCGCATCCCAATCCTGCCCTTAGGGTTCCAGGCTACGGGGAGGAAGCGCAGGAACCTGGCTTCGAAGGGAGGCTCGAGTCTGTAATGTACCACGCTGTCTGCGTTTGTGTTTCCTGGAAAACCCTGGGAGAAAACGGAGAAAGGGATCAATGTGTCTGCAGAATGCCGAGTTCACGCTGTCACCTCTCGTGCCTGTGAGGGATGGGTGCCTCACCTCGTTAATACGCAAAAGGCCGCCCGCTTTATAGAAACGCCGCTAACGTTTGAGAGGCTGTGCGACAACCTTTCTTCAGGGCCTGGATTAGTCGCCATGGTCTAAGTTTTCCTTATTTGCAGGGTAAATAAGGAATTTGCAGACGTTCACACGCAGCCCCACATCCAAGGCAATCAAGCGGAACATGGAGCCCGATGCAGGGCTGGATCCCTCAACCCTGGGATCATGACCTGAGCCAAAATCAAGAATCGGATGCCCAACCAATGAGCTACCCAGATGCCCAACCCCTGACGCTTTATATGGCCTTTTAAAGTTGATTCCATTGATTCGTCATCAGATTCTTAACCAATTTTCCCAGATGGCCTAGGCTATAATAGTCATAACAATCTAAAGTTTTCCTGTTACACAGCACCTTACTAGAAAATGCTACCCCCTCCAAGGACCTTGCCAGTCTATGCTCCGCAAAGAACAAGCAAGGGCCCTCAGCTTCTAAAACGTAATGCCAGACGTTAAGTCCATCTAAAATTCTGTCAGTTCTTTGGAACCCAACAGTCAAAACTTCCAGTTGTATGCTCTTTGATCTCTCCCAGTTTTATTATTCAGAGAGGCAAAAGACGTCCTCGTAATACTCCTGCATATGACAGTAATATAATTAGGGGGAAAAAGTCAACCCTTCCTTAGGCCCACTTGCATCAGAAGGTCAGACTCACCTTCCTGCCTGCATGTCACACGAACAGCCAGATACAATCAAACAGCCCGGGAGCGAAGTTCTTCTTAGCTCAGCCAGGAATGCTGCCTGCCTCGTTGTCTGGCCTTGTGGAACACTAGGCCCCAGCTTAACGACCAAATCAAGTTCAATCCCTAGTAGGCCACGACAACGAGGTATAAACAGACGGAACTAAGGATATCAAAAACTCCAATGTGTTGGGAATCTCAGATGCTAGAACTCTTCCTCTGGGCTAGAGAATGAAATACCAACTCAGACGCATGCAGTCATCTCTCTCTCGTCCAATGGAAGTGTCATCTTTGTCCTTTACGCCGTCTTCGTTTTCAAGGGTTAGCAACTGCCACGCCACGATCAGCGTGCCTCCATGCTCCAGATGTGAATTTGGAACCGCATTGTACCTGCCCCGCCACTTGCCGGCCCGTGGTCTTAGTTGTAGTCATGGGCTGCAGGCCACAGTTCCCTCGCCTACAAAACCAGCTTGTAAACCCTAACTCCACAGGTTGAGATGCTACTAAGTTAGACAATATCTGAAAAGTAACATTCCCATATCGGCCTGAAGGTAGGCGGTCCACGAAGGCTGGCCACTGTGGCTGTGCTCCTGGCTGCCATTTTGGATACCGTAAGTACCTTCGGCCGAGGGGGCTCATCTGTCAAACTCAGCATCCTGTTACTTAACGTCTCAGGTTCAGTACCCAAGATGTGCAGGTAAACAGTGAAGGGAGAAACATCAGCTCCTACATTCACGGTGATGCCCAACTTGTAATTCAATTTAACAACTGAAGTCAAGGGGCACTCAGGTGGCTAGTCAGGTAAGCAACTAACTCTCGATTTCCACTCAGGTCATGGGATCAAGCCCAGCGTCGGGCTCTGTGCTGACATGGCGGAGCCTGCTTGGGATTCTCTCTCTCCTTCTCTCTCTGCCCCTCCCCACCATGTGCTCTCTCTCACTCTCAAAATAAATAAACTTAAAGAAAAAAGAATTGAAGTCAATATTTATTTGAGTGTAGCTGACAAAACTTGTAAATCTCAGCATGAACCATTTAATTAAATTACTTCCTAAGAAGGATACTTAAGTTGTATTTTCTTGATATATAATTACTTCCTTCTAAAATATTGTTTACTGAATATAAATTCTGAAAATCGCCCTTCAGATTGTGTGATGATAGTGCCAGACAGCAAAAGGAATTTCGAGTTCTATTTTAGTGGAATTTAAACAGAATACTCTTTAAGAAATACTTCAAGTGGCAATAATGTCTTAATAGTCTATGAAAAGTGGGGATTCAAAACACACTCTTCACAACTTCTGAGAATCCGTGTTCAAAACAAAACATTCATCGCGTCCGATTTTAATTATATTCAAATGCTTGGAACCTATGTATGTGTATGTATACACCTAGGTGATTATCATAATTCATTCTAATTTTAAGGAATTACATTATTTGTGTCTTATGTAGAATTATTAACAGTCCTTTTGGATACAAATCAATGATACGTGTCCTTAAAGACACAGAGATTAAGTGAAGTGAGTCTGGCACAGGTGGGATCTCTACTAGCATATCTATGCTCTCATGTTTGGGGCTAATTACTGAAATGATCCCGTATATTTTTGTCAAGCTAACGTTTCTTTTTCAGAGGTGGTATAATCTATTGTTCTATTCTAATCTGTTATTCTATTCTATTCTATTCCATTCTATTCTTCTATCTATATAATCTATTATTCTATATTTTTGGTTTAGTGTTTCCAGAACACACACAGATGCACAGGCTGAACGCAGACGGACAAGAACAAAGGGTCACCCTCGCCCTGTTCTAACACGCGGGAAGGGGCAGACCCCACGGGAGCAGAAAGCAGCGGTCCCGGTGGAAGCGAGCTGCCCTGGGCAATTCCTCAGCAGCTCTCACCCAGGTTCCCCTCCACGCAGACCTACGAAAATCGAAAATCAGCTCCATCCAACTTCTTCCCCATCTCTCGTTACAGGAGTGACCTCAGGGAAGCCAGCATCTTCATGTATAAAGTAGGAAAAAGAAAAACGATCTTACAGCTCTGATGGGCTAGGGTATGAGAGTTTCACGGGTTCATCACCTAACCATTTTCTCCATGGCATTCCTGCTGAGGGTTGCTGGAGGGGTGCTGGGTGGAGGGATGGGCTAAATGGGCCACGGGCATTAAGGAGGGCACTTGTCGCGATGAGCACTGGGTGTTATATGTAAGTGATGAATCACTAAATTCTATTCCTGAAATCATTATTACAGTATATGTTAACTAACTTGGATTTAAATTTTAAAAAATAAGCTAATATTTGAAAATGTTCACAACACTACCTGGCTGGCATGATAAATATTATACATCACAATTAAACTAATTGCACTCAACAAATATTATACATCACAATTAATAAATAACACATGAACTGGAAAAAAAAAGAAACCAACACCCCCCCTCCCCACTATTGATCAGAAACACTTCAGCTAGACGTGGACTCAATATTCAATCACTTTAAAAGCATCACAATTGAGTGTTTCATCCATGATTAGGAACAAACAACGTCTGATGAAGTTTTCCGTTTCCCCGTTAGCTATGCGGAAGGGAACCCGAGTCCGCGGCTTGGGCTCCATTCACATGCTACAGATGCGTTTCTAAAATAATATGTTTTAGCAATCGATGACATTTCTGAAAAGCTGCCCACTCTGCATTTCGTTTATTCAGCAGTCACATCAGTAGGATCTAAATCACAGGAAAGGATCGTTACGAGGCTCAGGCAAAGCCCCAGTCTCCAGCGTAACGTGCCCCATCCCATTCTGCATTAGAGTCAACAAATGACCTTCAAGATGCCGATCATGTATTTGTCACTGTACATTTGAAATATCTGCGTCGTGAGAAAGGCTTTCCTACCAATTCTTTGTTTCAAAATAGGAGTGGGGCTGTCTACAGAATGGGTCTCAGTGGTTTTAAAAATAGATAATCATTAGGGCTCTAAGCTGGGCCCCTACGAAATCCAAGCTTCACTCTGCACTCACACTGTTCACTGCATTTTAAGACCTCTGCGGTAGGAGAGGGGATGTTGCGGGGACTAAGGGGGTGTGCGGGAATCCCCGAGCTCTGAGCTCTAATTCTGGCCATTTTAAGTGCCGGACCACGATGGTGTTGGACAACATATACTTAATCTCCCCACGTCTCTGCTTCTTCATGAGTAAGGGGGGAATACTAACAATTATTGCTATTGCTAAATATAACATTTTGTCCCTGTTATTTTTGGAGGCTCGCGGGCCACGAAAGGACGTACTAAAATCATTTCCTGTAATCAGACCATGTGAACGCTGTGGTCGGTTGCTTTCAAGTCCATGCTCTCATGATAAATTATTTTTAACATTTTAGTGAACCAGGAAGTACCACAAGGTTTACACTTAAAGAAAACAAGGAAAGTATCCTCCTGCCACTTTGGTTTTATTGACTGAACTGGACATTCAGTAACACGGACTGGATGTCACGTGTCGGACCCGGAAGGAGCCGCTCAGTCATCCAGACCAGCAGGCTTCGTGCCCGGTGACCGCTCAAGCTTCAACGCGTGCAGATACGTTTACTTCAACGTGTTCTAGAAAGGGAATGGATAATCTCTCGTCTGGCTTAAAACCAGAAAACACGCCCCCCAAGTGTGCTTAAAAGATTTGCTTGTGTGTAAGACGTATGTCTGAATGCACACAATAGGTACATTACAGGCACGTAAGTAGTATATTCTGATGTGAAAATCTCCATGTGCCGGAAACAGCATGCACTTAACGAGTGGTTCCTGGTATGTTTTATGGCCTCTTCGTGGAAGCAAGTCACAAAGTCAGACCCACAGCTGTCAAAAGACACAACCACCTCTCTGTGTCCCAAAACCTGCCCCTGCCTCCAGGCGGAACCCACCCCATGAGCGAGTACAGCTACGCCACCCAGAAACCCACGGGGGCCCAGCCCTGGAGACATGCACACCCCCGGGGCCTACACAGACGCAAGAAACAGGTCCTAAATGCCGCTGCTCTTGATTGACGTGATTTTTTTTTTTTATCTGCGCGGTATAGGGAAGGGCAGTGTAAACATTGCCGAAATATGGTTGAAATAAAGTATTTTTAAAACTTTATTTTTGCTCAAGTTGTATTGCTAAGTGTTAGGCTTTTACCACTTTGTTTTACCTTCTTCCT